AAAAAAAAAAAAAAAAAAACGCAAGCAAAGGGGATAAAAAAATAATAATAAAGGAGATATGTGCAGCGTACGACAAATCAGTAGAAATAGCGAAACAACAACGAGCTCTATTGATACTCCGATGATAAAACTTCACCCAACTTCACTCGGTAATGAAAACATACCTTTTTAGTATGTATATGTGCGTTTTCTTTGTACACTTGGGAGGGGGGAGAGGGTTGGTTGGATGGTTGGTTGGGGAAAGGTGAGGGATAAAGGGGTTAGAGGGACATTACGCAACGACGGAGAATGAGAATCCGTCAATAATGAATTCAATATAACGACGCAGCGCATCTGGCATCTCATTCTTAGTAGTGTGTAAACATTTTACGACAAACCAAATATTGGCGCAGGTAATCTGTAGCGCATTAATATGAAGTGTCATACCATTTTCAGTTTCACCTACAAACATCACAGTAACCTTTCCTCCAGCTGCGCTTCCCATCCGCTGAAGGGGAGGTTGTGAAAAAAGTGGATTTACTAATAACGGCAAGTCAGTTATTTCCGTAAGAGATAATGTACCAACTTCTAATTCAAACATCTCTTTATCCTCTGACTCCAAGAAAAGGTTGACAAAGGGATCAGTTGTATGATTACACACACATGTGGTGAACATATCAATAGGAGGTAATGGCATCTCTAACACTTTTGAAACGTACCGACTTGTTGGTAAATCCCTATTTTCCTCTGCCACCACCGTAGTACTTATCTCTGCAAGTAGCAATTTTACTTCTTCTATGATATTCACATGGGTAGCACCACCCGAGTGCCAATATGATACCAGGTATAGTTTATCAGGAATTAACACATACACCTCATCGTCGTGTTCTTTTTGTTCACTTTTCAGTTCCGGCTCCCACGTGAGGATTTGGCCTGACCATTCATCTGAATGACGGTAACATAATGCAAGAGTGTTACCTATTGTTGTGCGAGTTACTATGAAGTGTAGGGGAAGAGAAACAAGAAATACCTCTCCTCGCATGCCCGACAGCAAGGCATGTTCTTGCTGTCCAACGGGCTGACGGGGAATGGGCGCTATTTTAGCACTCTGCAAAGTTCGACAAATATCGGCGAGACGGGCTTCATAATCGTCTACATGCGTTTGAAGTTGAATAATATAACCCATATGGTCCTGTACTAAAAAAAATACGGCAGTAACCATCGATGCAGGTCCTGTGGAAATATTCACGAAACATTCCATAATGGTCGTTATAACAGTACTTGCAGGAATATCATACCGTATTTTAAAATGTGTTTGCTGCTGCTCCGCCACCGCCCGCACCCGTTCAATACATTTCATCTTGTATACCTCTGTTGTGATGTTTTCCCTCGTAGCAGAGAGATCTTCCGCGACGAGTGTTAACATCGAGCCATCGTGGTGAATGTATCGCTTCAACTCGACAGGGAAACGATAGAAAGCAGATTCCATCGTAAAGCTACTAACAATACTTGCGGTAAGATTTCCAATCGTAGTATAAAATTCAACACCACAAGAGCTTGACACTTCCCCTGATGTTATGCCATTACTGTTACTTCTTGCCCACACGTGATCGAACTTTACACTGGATGGAGAAAAAGAGACACCGCTTGGTGATGACGTTGATGACGTCCTTCTTCCTTTTATTTGTTCATCTGAATGGTTGGAGAATAATCCCACATCATACATTTTTTCCTTGGATTTCTTTGGATAATATTTTTCAGGCCAAATACCGTAACTGCGGAGTTCCGAAATTGTGAAACCTTCTGATATTAGTTCCTCAATTGAAAGTCCCTCTGATATAAGCTTGTCAAGACGCATGGCATGCTCTTGACGTCTCTCCCTCACCGCATTAAATGAAACTATACAGGAGCTGATGACAACGCCAATGGCAACAGAGATATTCCACTTGTGGGACATATCCACATAATTCTGCGGAGACATCATCAAACTACTTGGTCCCAATAACCAACAAGTCCAAGGCATAGAAACTTAAAAAAAAAAAAAAAGAATAAAAAAACGTCATAATAATATGGTGTTCAAAACAAAGGAATCACAGAACAAAAGAGAAGAAAATAACTATCATTATTACATCAAGAGGGAGAATATTCTTTTTTTTTTCCCCTCTCTTTTTCTTTCTTTCTGGATTAGACTAACACGCAATCAAAGACACAAGAACAATTATACAGACTCATATACGCACTTCTTTACTTTTTTTTTTCTTTTTTCTGCTCTTCGGTGATGTTATGTCTCATTTAAGCAAGAGGTAATCATTGAATTCAGGGTGACGACTGACGATAAGATCCGCTACATGGGCTAATTCCTCACATATTGAAGTAGTCTTTGCATCCCATGCTGCCATAACAGATGCATTATCTGACTGAGCAAAGATAACAGTCTCTGTGGTCTGATCGAGGCGCGCATCTAAGCGACGCTCCGTCACCATTTGAGCTACAAGTCTCTCTGCCTCTGTTGCAGTAATACCAAGAAGTAATCCAAGTTCTGCGAAACCAATATTGTAATAAACACGAGAAACAGCTTGTAGGTTATGCTGAACAAAGGCTCGTGTGACTGCGGCAACAGCAGTGGGTGAAGGTTCCACATATGGGAGAAATCGTTGTAGATCACTCTGTCGCAGTACGTGAAAATTATGTGCACGACCCAAAATCGTGTACAACTCCCCAAGTAATACCGCATTCTCATCCTTGTAAAATAATCCCAAGAGTCGCGAACGTGTTACAGTTGCATCTGCCTGAATGGCACACACTATGGCTTTACGAAGGTGAGAAAGACCTTTGGTTCGCATGTATAAATCATAAAATCGTTGCGAGGACTCTGTGAAGCGCTGTCGTGCCGCAAGTAGTGTAGCAAAGGCATGAAGAAACTCGTTCACTACAACATTTGCCTCTGGTTTCATGGCGAGCGACTTATACAGTGCGAGTCCTCGCATACACTCTGTCTCCACCGTCGCGTAGCTGTTTGTTTGCATTGCACTGTTAAGTAATTTTGTGAGCAACACTAAAGAGGCTTCATCACTCTGTGCTGGCAGTTCTCCTCGCATTGCGAAGGCCGCGAGTGACTGTAGTGTTGGGCCGGGCGGTAAACGTTGCAGAAATGACGTCAAACCATCAATATCGCGGGAGGCGATGAGAGACGCCACATGCGCCTTTGTGAACTCCACCCCCTCTTCTTCCTCTTCTGTCATTAACACAGACACTACAGGAAAGACTAAGAATAAGAAAACAGGAAACCGAAAGAAAAAAAAAAAAAACACTCCATAAGAAGAATAATAGGATAAATAAAGAAACATATATTGTTACTATTTTTTTTTGTGAAAAAAAAAAAAAAAAGAAATCACCTTCTTTTTGCTCGTTTAGTGGAAAAACCATAGAGCCAAATTAATCGTATTTTGAGCACTTTGGTATGTGCTATTTTCTTTTTTCTGTTTTGTTTTTTTTTTTCTTTTTTTTTTTTTTCCTTCTTTTATTGATTCTCCTTCTTTGCCTTCTTTCCTGGTCTGTTGAGGAAATATTCCATTGCGTCGTCGGTGTTTGTTTTCTTTCCCTCTTGCTGCCGCTTCGACTGACGTGCTGTGGCGACGGTGGCCGCAAGTTCCACGAGTTCCGCCTTTGACCGTTTGTCTTTCTGCGCGACATCCAGATGAAAGCGTGGGTCCGCGAGCAGTTTGCTCTGAAAGCGCGGGTCAATGGCGTCGGCTGCGGCCTTCGCGGCCTCCTGCTGCCGCGCCTCCCGCACCTCGCGGGTGACGCCGAGTGCATTCGACGCCCGCATTTTTTTCTTCGCCTCCCGCTCCGCCGCCGCGCGTTGTTTGACCGCCTTCGCATGCAACTTCCGCTTCTCTTTACCGCTCACGTGCGTGGCGCCCATGTCGTCCGTGCCAAGAGCCTCGCGCAGTGCCTGTCGTCGTTTCTCACGATCGGCCTGCAACTGCGCCGCCTCAGCCTCACGTTCCTGTTCAAGCATCTCCTTCTTTGCTTTCCGCATTTCTTTTCGTCGAAGTTTGTACTTTAACTCCGCCTTGGTACCAAGATCGCTAGACTTCATCATTTGCTTTATATGAGTTTCACGTTGAAGACGTGCTGCCTTTGTCTCTGCATCCAAATCAAGGGTGGCCTCCATGTCTCCCATAACCTCACCATCACTATGATGATCCTCATCCTCATCTTCTTCTTCTTCACTTTCCATTTCAACATCACTGAAACGGTTGAGGGAATCATCATCTTCGTCTTCATCCTCCTCATCATCGCCAAATTTGTTGTCGTTGTTGTTCTCCCCTTCATCACTGGGTTCATAGTCCTGTGGGAGACCACCAATTTCCTCTAACAATGCAGCATACTTTTTGCGAATTCGCATTTTCTCCCGAATGCGTTTTTCCTTATCATTGGCGTTGTTACCCTTGCCACCATCATCGACCTCATCCTCATCGGATGAATCTGGTGGTGCAATGTACGCCGCGAGATCATCATCTGCGGTTTCGCCAGTGAAACTATCACGAATGGAACGATGACGGAAAACATCATCTTGATCCCATGAAATACGAAATCGAGTTTGTGAAAGTGCTGCAGCTTTAAACGCTGCGAGCGGCTTGTAGTTCGCGGGAATGCGATCGGCGCGGCTTACGGGATTCTCAAATGATTCATCATCGTCCACATAGCGCAGGTCAAGCACCACACCACTTGCCTCCACATCCATACCATCCAACTGTTTGTACACAGTTTCGGCTGTCTCTGCAGAGTCAAATGTGGCGATAGCGTAATAGTACTTCATACGATCCCGCTCATATTTGCGATACTTCCCCTGGGAAAAGAATTCCCCATCCTCTCCTTCTTCCTCCAACATCGCAATGTTATCATCTTGCCAAGCATCATCATCATCATTGTTATTATTATTATTATTATTATTATTATTATCATCATCATCATCATCGTCATCATTGTTATTATTTTTATTTTTATTGTTATTGTTATTCTTGCGAAGACGGAGGTCATCCTCATCGGTTGGCTTGTCAGCTGTTTCTTTTTCAGAGATCTTTGAAGTATCACGTTCATCTTCCGCCTTTTCTTTTTTATCCCACAGATCCGGACCCTGGACACGTTCGTGTTCTAGCATGCGTTTACCAAAATCACTCATGTAAACAGAAACATCAACAAGTTGTCCTCCCAGTGGAAGAGCATAGAAGAGAATAGCGTACAGATCCACCGCTCGTATATGATCCCAGCTACAGTTCACAATAGCTACACGACGGCGTGGTTCAACAAACTCCACATCAGAGGCAGACCAAGCCGCCGCCTCCTCTTCCAGATCCTCCACTTCTCCATCAACTACGTTCATGATTTCCTGATTATCATCCGAGTGGCTGCCGCTGCTGCTACCGCTGTGAGAGATATCATCATCTTCCTCGTCTTCGTCTTCTTCTTCATCATCAAACTCCTCTGAACCTCCATCAATCTTGTGTAGGTGTTTGGCGAATCGTGGATCCCGAAGCGCGGCATCACGTGGATTGTCGTACTTGTTATACTTGTTGTAGTTATTACCGCCCCTACCACCGCGGCGGGAGACTTGAAAACGCGGATCGGTGAAGCGAGCGGCGAAGCGCGCATCGCCTCGGCCTCTTCCACGACCACCACGTGAGTGCACCGCCCCCCGGCCACGTGAGGAGCTCTGAATTGTCTTCATACTCACACGAAACGGCTTTGCAAATGAGAACCTCAGACTCGTGAAGATAGTAACAACAAAAACGGAGGAAAAAAGAGAAGGCAGGACAATACCGAAGAAAAAAGCAAATAATTAAAAAAAACCTTCGTGAAGTAGAAACTCATATATGAATACACAAACAAAAAAAAACACAAGAAAAAGGGGGTGCACTAGAATGCATGAGATAAAAAGAAATAAATAGAAAAAAAAAAAGAACCCAACAACAATAACACAGTTTCTGCAACAGGAGAAAACAAGGCACAACCAATTTCAAGTATCCAATTCGTATCCGATGTGTATAAGAATATCTTTCATTTTCTTTTTTATGATCCAATCATCACGTAAAGATTATTTTATCACTCCTTTGATTTTCGCGAAAACGATGGGATAAGCGCGACGATATCAAGGAATAATGTCAGCACTACAAATCCCAGTGGTAAGGTCCATATATGATAAACAGGCCACACTGCAATGGTCCAGAGAAGACCTCCTAAACTTACTGCAGCCGTCGCAGTATGTACTATATGCTTGTGCGTCTCACCCCAGTTTGGGTGTTTCGGTTGAACGAAAAAGGCAGTGTAGAACCATATGGAGAAAAACATTGCGTAACAAAAATATGAAATCCACATGACAGATTGAATAATATTACGCGATCGAAACATAACTTCAATCAATCGGGAATACATCACCAGGATGGAACAGATAATGATGGTAACTACTTTAGTAACATAAAACCTCAAACCCCGAGGTTTTGGTGGTGGGGCATTTGATAACCGCATTATTATTATTATGATTTTTTTTTTTTTTTTAGTCTATCGGCGCCTCTTATTCCTTTTTTCTTTCCTTATATATATATATATATATATATACCCCTAGCCAGGTCTTGGTAGAAGATATATATATGTATATACACTGATAAAAAAAAAACTATTAGGAAAGAAGAAAAAAGAAAAAAGTTTTAAAAGTCCAGATAAAGAAAGAACAATGTGCTTGAGGAAATGCTGAAAAAAAGAAGAAAAACAAATCCCATCAAAGAGAATTCCCACAGATAGGTGGAAAAAAAAAGAGAGGAAGGAGAAATACCAATAATATATATATATAAACTCATAGAAAGACAAAGATATCAGGTTTACATAATATCAAATGTATCATACATTATCAACTTCCCTTTGTGTCAGAAAGGGTGTCGTGTCAACTCCCATGCTATGTAAACGTCGCAAGGCAGTGATCTCAATTTCCTCAATTTGTTCTGCTTTCAAAACAGCTTTCCTGTCAACCACTGAGGGCAAAGTACCAGATAATGGACTAGAACACCCAGCAGATGGTAGTTGCTGAGCGTGAGATTCAGAAAAGCAGTTGGAAGCCTGTCCTAAAGAGGATACTGTAGCTGGTCGACCCTTTTCTAATTCAACACGCAGAGCTTTTTCTTCTAGGGTAGCCATTCGTCTCTCCATTTCACTATTACTCTTTAGAGCAGTTACCCAGTTATTTTCCATGTTTGTAGCAAATCGATGTAAATCTTTGATAGACCAGACTGCTTTTTTGGGAGTTGCACGCTTTACCATGGCATGTCGTAGCGCTTTTATCACCTCACGGGCATCTTCGTCCTCCTTTCGCTCATTAACACAGCGGAATATAAGGGTCGATGGTGGAGCAAAGTCATCCAACGCCTTTTGACTACTTCGCATATCAAGAGTACTTTGATAGGCAGAAGCACTGATTAAAAGTGATGGGTCATAAATGCGATTTGCCCACTCTCCACCCATTGTCTCATGATAAGAAGATAATATAATAGAGAGTGTTGAAGCAGTCTGTACTGCCATTTCTTCATTTCGGGCATTAAAAGGAGATGGAAACATTGGGGTCCCAATAAGATGTACCACACCAAGGACCGATCGTTGAACTTCTCCGTATCGTGTGTATACTGGAACAAGAAGTTGTGCAGCATTAGATGAATCAATTAAATCCATTAATGGGGCATTTTCTGATAATCTAGGTTCATTCATCCCTAGTTTTGGTTTAAGGTTTACTGCAATTCCTGTCTCACTTACAGCACATGGGACGGATGTCTCAGATACACGGTATGGGGCAGAGTTACGGAGTTTGGATATATCTCTTCCTACCACAAAGGGTGCCACAAGTTCAGTAGATACAACGCCTGGTGGTGGCAACCATAACAATGCAACAGCTGCTCTAGTACGAATTGCCAAACTTTCTAAAACGGAATATATGCTGGCAGACACCAGTTCTAACGCAGAGTTCATCCTGCGTAGTTTATATACCGGTACTGTTCCATTGAAAGTCGCTCTGGGACTGAAACTAGTATGACTAGGCCGAGTAGGACTATGTATTGCAGTTTGCGTATTCATAGTAGTATTATTTCCATGTGCAGTTACTGGACAGGATTGCGTACCCAACTCACGTTCTTGTCGATCTCGCTGCCTTGCAGCTTCGAGATTCGCCTTACACTCCTTCAGGGCGCCTATCTCTTGGTCTACTGCTGAGCAAAGCTCACGTAGTGCAGCCTGCAGTCTTACAACCTTGTGGTTTTCCTCTGGAGTTCTCTTCTCCATCTCACTCACGATTCTGTGCACTTCCTCGAAGCGGTGGGAGATTATGTCACTAAAGACGCAAGGAGAAAGTGTGGAGACTGGAAATGCATGCTGGCAACTATAGCAGAGTTGCATCCTATCCCTTTATGTAAGCAAGAACTCAATAATAATAACAATAAAGGAGGAAAAAAAGCGTAAAAGATAACGTGGGGGGCGTGGTATGTGCATGTTAAAGTAAAGTAAAAAAAAAAAAAAAAACAAGAACAATAAGTAAAGAAAGAAGAAGAAAAAATACTGACTTTAAAAAGAGAAGCAATTGAAGATACAAGGATGACACATTATGGAGTACCGGGAGTCTATTCGCAAAGTTCTATCATGTTCAATATATATGTATATATATATGTATATATATTTGCCATTCCTCCAAAAGAAGCTCACATGTACACACACAAAGAAAAAAAAAAGACTGATGCCTCTTTCAAAAGCGATATAAATCGTTATCTAATGAATCATTGAGCCCTACGAGATCATCTGTAAAGGTTTCGTCAACATGTCCTCCATCTATGCCCTCTTTAGTAGTTTTCAGCGTTTCGACTTCTGCCAGAGGAATGCTATCTTTATCCTTATCCTTGTTATTGTCGTTGTCACCACCCCCACCCCTACCCCCACCACCATACTGATCATTAGCATCATCTCCAACTTCGCAGTTAAACTCATCATAGTCATACTCATTTGTAGGAAACAGGGGTGAAACAGCACACGGAGCCCCAGATTTCCTTCTCTCCCCATTTTCCTCTCCCTTTTCTTCTTCTTCTTCTCTTCTTCTTCCTTCATCTTCTTGCTCTCCTTCTTCCTTATTATTTGTTTCATCCACCACGGTGTCAAAGTTGAATTCGGCGTCTGCTTCCTCGTGCTGCTCTCCAAAGAGTCCCTCCTCTATTTGCCGCAGCGCCTCTTCCTCGTCGTGGTCTAGACGGCGGGCGGGCCCTTGTCGTTCCTCCTCGCGGCGCTTCAGGCGGGCTCGGAATACGCCGAGATCAATCGCCTCTCGCGCTGCCAAAGCGGCCCGCACATCACTGCGGCGACGGCGTAGTTCGCGGTGATACAGCCGTTTCACATCTGCCCGCGATCGCCCATTGTACATGACGGCGATGGCATTAAAGTCCGTGCCGTATTGCGAGAGGAACGTGTAGAACTCCCGCAGCTCCTCCTCCGTCCAGTCGAAGCGGGCGCGTTTGTTCCCGGCGGGAGGTGCCGATCCCGCGTCCTCCTCCGCTGTGCTCGCCGCCGACTCGCGCGGGGGACTCCGCTCCCGTCGCTGGCGCTGCCGCCGGCCGCCCTGCAGCAACTGTCGAATCGGCCGCTGCTGCAGCTCCGTCGGCACCACCGTCGGCGGGAGCTCCTCGATCGGTTTGTTGGAGAGCGTGCGGAGGGGGACGCCCTCGAGAACATCGCCGCCCAGGTCGAATTCATCCGCGGCAGGATCCGGCGGGAAGTCAAAGTCGTCCCGGTCCATCGCACTTCCATTCATATGTGTGGCGAATAGGGGGGAAAAAAAAAATATAAGGAGAAAGAGAAAAAAGGAAGAAAAAAAAAAAAATCAAAATCAAAATTCATTCATACATACATGTATGCAGATGAGAGTGAGTGCATTTCTATCGGGAATGGATAGAATGGAGGAATGGTTGCCGAAAGTCTGCCAAGAGCACAGCGGACGCAACATCACGCACACACACACAAACACACATACTGGAGAACCCCATCTAGCCCTGCTCCACTGAAACAATATTTATGTAGATGAAGACGAACAGTAATTTGTGAAACTAATTGAAGCAACCGATCAGCATAGACTAAAAGAAGGAAAAAAAAAAAAAAAAGCATAACCGAAAAAGAAAAAAATAAAATAAAAGCAAAATAAAAACTGTTTCACACACATATCTAGACGCAATAATAATAAAAGCAGAAATACAAATGAAAGTATCCCTTACTTCCTATATTATTGACGCCTTATCTGATGCCCCAGGGAAGTCAGAGGAACGAATTGCACTCGTCCATGTGTTTTCATTTCCACTTTTCCATTGAGATCTTTCCTGTAAATACGCAGAAACTGTGTCGCATCTTCTTCTCCCACCGGTATTACGAGGCATCCACCAGGTTTCAGTGAATCAAAATAAGTTTGGGGAACACTTGCAGCAGCTGCACCGACGTGAATAACATCAAATGAACTTTGAGAATTGGGAAATAATTTTGAAATGTCTCTACCATCACCCTTGATAAATGATATACGGCCTTCGTTTACCCACTGAGCAAAATGTTTTTTGACCACATCCGATGATCGTTGTCGCAACTGCTCCACATGTTCCACACCAATAACCTGTGACCCAGGACCGCATAGCATAGCAAGAATAACCGTCAGGTAGCCACTACCGCTACCAATATCCAATACTCTTTTGTTTTGGTTTCCTTCCGGTTGAAGAAGATAAGGGGCAAGAATTTCAACCATAATGGCATGCATATGGGGTGCACTTATAGTAGCACCATACCCAATGGGCAGTGGAGAGTCATTATACGCCATGCCCTTATGGTAATCTGACACAAACCACCCACGATCCACGCGATGGAATGCGTCAATGACAGCTGGCGTAGAGATCAGTGAGGCCAGCTCCAATTTTCGAACCATTGCTTGGTTTGAAACACCTGAGCACGTCCAAGCCATAATTAATAAGTCTTTTTTTTTTTTTTTTTGGCGCTTTCCCTTTTCTATGTAAAGTTCTAGTCAACCTCCATACTGCAAAACAAAACAAAACAAAAATAGAACAGAATCCAGCATGCAAAAAAAAAAAAGAAAGGTTTTACTCATTACTCCAAAAATATTCTAACAATATATATTTTTCTCTTTTTTGTGTTTTTTTTTTCTTTCCCCTTTCGGGTGTTAGTAGTGTAAACTTCAAGAAGTATGGTCCATCAAACGGATCCCACCTTTGGTGGTACAGCAATATTGCCATTTATTATAACCAGAAATACTAGCTACTCATCGTATTAATAGTAGTATTAGTAATGATTGTCGGTGAGCTCTTTTCCTTCCTCCTTTTCGCTTGATATACCGCAAAACACTGACGTCTACCCCTCAAATCAGCAGCATTAGCAGGAAAAAGGGGGCAAACATCTGGGCATTGTTGTTGTTATTATTATTATTATTATTTTTTTTTTTGACTGGGAGACGATTCCCATCATTCTCTAATTCTTGTTTTCCACTTCCCAAGTGTCTGGTCATTTGGGAATGCACACAGGAGATTGCCACTCAGCTGGGTGGATCGCCACATTTGCGTCCTCCCACCACTACCGTGGTAGGTCATTTGACTACCTTTGTCTGTTTTATTTCGTTTTTACTTGCTTGTTACACATTACTCATGATTTTTCTTCTTCTTCTATTGTTGTTGCTATTGATTGTTATTTCTGTTCTTCGGTTTTTTTTTTCTCTTTTTTTTTTTTTTTGTATTTTTCCGGAGTTTTCTTTTTTTCTTTTTTTTTACCTCCTTCGTGTTGCTATACTACAGAAAAAAAAAAAAAAAAAAAAAAAAAAAAAAAAAACCTCCACGCAATACACACAGAAGCGGGGGATGATTTTATAAGTTTTGTTCCTAAATAATCGTGCGTGATATCAATCTCACCTCTGCATAACAATAATGTGCAGAGACCGAGACTCACTCACTCACTCAGACAGAAACACAGAGCATTATATATATATATATATATATTTCTTCTTGTTTGTAAATATACACAGAAAGAACACAAATACACACATCCCCTCACCTTAGTCAATGACATACAAATGGAAAACAAACAGTGACACATCAGTCACACTGCAAGTTACACCCCCTTAACTCCTTTTCCTTCCCACAAGTGTATATCGTGATGTTTCGGTTATTGCTATTATCACTGTTGCCACCCACCTCGTCCACGAGTGTCGGTGTCTGCGACCAGACCGGCGTAGAGATCTGCCTCGTCGTGCAGCAGTGGAAGGAGAACAGGCACCGGCGCCGCCACCTCCACTTTGTGCCGACGAACTCTCGGCTCGTCCTCGTCCGCCGACACACTCGGCGCATTACTTGTAGTGCCTCTCGCTATTGTTGTTGTTGCTGGTGTGGATGTTGCGGTGACGACTGGGGCATCGGCACGCGATGTCTCTTCTACAGTCGACAACGCCTCCTCACGCTGACGGCGGAGTTCTTCCTTCTTCCTTGCCATTCGCTCTTGAAAGGATGAGAGTGAAAAGGCGGGGACTGCAGGTGCCGAGTTGCCCTTCTGCCCCTCACGTTCTTCGTCTTTTTTCGCTGCAAGAGCAATAGCGGAGGTCTGTGCCTCCAAGTCAGCACGGACAGATGAGATCACCGCCTCATCTGTGTTGCATTCCTGCAGGAATGTGATCAGTTGTTGTAGAGTTGCCCGGTTAACTTCTTCCACGGCGGCTGGTGGGGTAACCGCTTCTGTAGACTTCTTCGCAAGGTCCTTAATGTCCTCACGGTCAATCACACTCGACTGCACATACTTTTCAAGAATCTCTTTCACCCGGTTGAGTACCTCCCGTTTGTTTGCGCAAGAAGATGTGGCTGAAGAAGAAGAAAGTGACATAATGTCCTATTGTCTTTTGTGAAGTTGATACCTTTCACTAAAAGAAAACAAAAAATAAAAAAATAACAACAAGAAGAAAAATATTGTTGGATATGAAAAAAAAGGAAAAAAAATAAATTCTGTTACATCCAGAGTACCCTACAAAACTAACAACACATTAGGGTGTATGCACAGGTGCAGATGAACAAACACATATAGACACACACATCCAAAACCTTTCTCACTCACAGGAGGGACTAACTGAAACGCTAAAAGCAAAACTAATAATAATAATAATAATAATAATAATAATAATAATAATAATAATAATAATAAAAGACGATCTCTACAGATGTTCTCCACACACAAACAAACATAAACTCTGGTGTACCTGACTCAACCACCAGGGCACATAATACACACTACAGAGACTCCACTACACTACTAAGTTCCACTATCAACCCTCTTTTATTTTCCCTTTTCACCCTCATCCACATCCCCACCCGAATAGCCGATCTACCTCTAAAATACAAGAACAAGAACAACAACATCGGCAACTAAAAAAAAATAAAATAAAAAAATAATCAGAAGAAATATATATATATATATATATATATATATATATATATATAGAGAGAGAGAGAGAGAGAGAGAAAGAAAACCATACTAAGCAAACCTTTCAGCTACTTGCCACGCCTTTACGCGGTACTCAGCTACGGGATTTTTGACGAATTGTTTCTCGTACAATGCCTCACGAACACGTTGGCGGTCACGTTGGTCCCGCACTTCATCAAAGGAATACAGTTGATTTCGCTGAAAGTCACGTTGAAAGTATCGTTCCCGTGCTAAAAACTTTGTAAAATTATTCCACGCAAAAATAACGGCGTAACATTTAAAAAATGACCACCTGATGGAGGTTCCAGTCCGATTGAGAAAACGTGTGTAAAAGAAGTTGACAAAGGCGGCACCAGGGATACTTGTGATGACAACTGGTGTACAGCGTATATTTTGTCCCCAGAAGGTGCGCATATTCCAATGGGATTCGCCGTCTGGTACTTTGTACACGCGACCCACCAGCGCCTCATCCGGTACTGTTGGGGAGCCGAGAAAGAAATCGAACTGGCGGAAGTTTGGCTCGAACTTTGTATCTGCCTGCACTGTTGGAATGGATCCGTGCCAGTTGAAGGAGGTCGGGCTGGTGCCCTGCAACATTGTAAAGTGTCCCTGCGCAACACCGGGCATCGCGTGGAGGACCTATCTACTGTACTTATTCCCTATTAAATTGGTATGTATGTATGCATGCGTGTGAATATATATATATATATATATTGCCGATTAGAGACTACTTCTACTAATAATAATAATAACTATTATTATTATTCCTGTGTCTTGTAGTCAGTGTATCCTACTGAAAAACAAAACACAAGTACCAATAGTGAGAACAAAAAAAAAATAAAAATAAAATAAACAGAAAAAGGCACGGAGGTACAAATAGAATAAAGAAGAAACTCTTCTAGGTTCACACCATCACTATCACTATCTTTTCTTCTAGTGACATGAAATCATTGCAAAAATTCCACTCTTTTTTCGTATATTTCTTTCTTTCGTTTTTTTTTTTTTTTTTTTTTTTTTTTTTTTTTTTTTTTTTTTTTTTTTTTTTTTTTTTTTTTTTTTTTTTTTTTTTTGTACATCCACCAAAGCCTCTTTAGAAAGATTTATTGGGTGGGACGAGCCTGCAGAAGTAACTGCGGCTGAATGTAGAGTTGGTAATTCACATCACTTTGCATATATTGTGCAAGTAACTCACGTAACTCTGCGTTCTGAGCTCGTAATGCATCTGTTTGCTCAATCAAACTACTGCGCTGCTGAAGTTGACTAATATATCGTTCAAGGCCCTTCTCTAACGCTCCCCATACACGTTGATGTTCCTTTGGTACAGAATCTGCCATACGAGCCCAATATTCTTTCTCTGCAGTTCGACGACGCTCTTCCTGTTTGATTTTAGCAATCTGTTTGTTCTTCTCTGCTGAACGTATTTGAGTTTCTCGCTGTAACTGCAACTTACGCTGTCGCTCCGTAAGGAATGTTGAGAGAGCACGAACAGCTTCCTGTGGGCGAATAAGCGCCGTGGCGTCTTCTCCAATACCCACCGTAAAGAACTCCATCATGTCTTCCATTTCTTCATTCTTACGTATTTGTAGAGTAGAAAGAATAGATTCTACCACAGCACGCTCTTCAGAGGTTCCTTGTACCTGTTGAATTGCCGTACGTACATTTTCATCTTCAATAAAAGGCGCTTGTTTATGTAGAATTTCAAGTAACATGAGAGCTTCCTCTGATAATTCAATTTCTTCATCACTACTGGCAACATCCTCTTCTTCTTCTTCTGCCGCATTACCCACATCATCTGAAGGCCAGTAATTTAACTCTGGTGGATTCCACGGCACACCAAGGATTTCTTCAAAGAGGACACGATCAGCTTGAAGACACTTATGAACAAGTTGTATATTTTTTTCTTCATGCATTCGCCAGAGTTGACGATACTTCTCCTTATCTGACATCTCAAACTTTTGAAACTTTTTCTGAAGATCACGATATTGATCTGCTACACGATGTAACTGGGCGGTAAGGTCTTTATTAGTGCGTTGGTATTTTTTCTCAGATTCAGCGTAGCGGGCCACAAGTGAGCTGAGGGTATCCTGCAGTCTTGCAAGTCTACGTTTATGCAATGCCTGAGCACTTTTGTTCTCCTTTACTCGTTCACGCAATACTTGTAAGTTATAACTTAGTCGTTCACCGTTAAGCAAGAACTCCGCTTTACAACGTTCAAGTTCTTCTGTAAGAGTATGAATTTCTTGTAGATGTTCTCGCTTGATATCATTATACTCTTCACAGTTTTCACGATGTTTCTCTGCAATGCTCTGTTGTGCTTCAGCTATTTTTGCTTCCCGCCGTTTGCGGTATTCCGTCTCACGTGTGCGACGCAGTTTCACTAATTGATAAATTTCTTCATCCCACCGCATAAGAGAATCTTTTCGTTCCTGTTCATACGTGTTTTCAACCTCACGTAGTTTTAGACTATACATATCAAGATACTTTGCCGTCTGCTCCCGCATCTCATTTACAAGATTATTAACATCCTCCGCATCACGTCGAAGGGATGCGACAAACTCCTCTTCACGTTCCTCTAACTGCTGCTTTAACGCCGTAATAAGTTTATCCTTCACGGCAATCACTTCTCCACACTGCTCCCGTTGCTCATTAAGTGCCTTGTGCAGCTCATGTGGGACATCAAGCTTATAGAGTGACTCAAACTTGAGCTCAATCGCACCTTGACGAACTTCATTCTCATCTAACTCGGCGCGTCGCATCTTTCGACGCTCCTCCAGCGCCTGCTCCTCACGCTCGCGGTGGTCATTCTCATTGGCGCCAATCGCAACCTCCCAATTCGTGACGGCACTGTGCGCACCGCCGAGTACATCCGCCATCTCGTGGCGGGCGGCGGTGACGGAGGCCTCCCCGCGGCCCGCTGGGGCGTTGGAAACAGTGGCGCTTTGCACCTGCGAATTGCCGTCGCCGTTGGCGTCGTTCATTCGTTTTTGAATGCGTTGCCGGCGCTCAGCGATGCGCTGCTCCTGTTCCGGGTCCACTGTTTCTGTGCGCAGCATCTCTTTTTATCTTTTCTTCGACTCACTTTTTTTTTTTTTTCTATCCTTCTATATATGTGTAATATATGTGCACCGCGCGTCGTGTGGCTTACCGGCAGTGAAATAAGAAGAAGAAGAGACGATAGTAGTAGAGTGTAACAAGTGCATTGCAGAGAATTGGGGAAAAGCAAAGAAACAAAATTGGGTATAACAGGAAAAGAACGCCAATGGCGAAAAGGAAAAAAAAAAAAAAGAAAATGGACCAGAGAAAGAAGGACATTCAAGGACCAAACAATAACTAGGACAAAAAAAAATCTTTTTTTTTTTCTGTGGACATCACGCGAGCTAACCCACTCACCTCCCACTCTTCTGTTTTTTTCTTCCTTCCCCACCCTATCAACTCCCACTTTCTTCACCTCTTTCTTTTTATTTTTGTTGTCCTTCTCTCTCTCTCTCTATGCGTCAAAATAAAACATTACCTTAGTTTCATTTAGTTGGGGGGAAATTCAACACAATGAAAGACCTTTCCTTAGCGTCTTTTTTTCTTTTTTTTATTATTACGACTGCCTTTATTCATTCCATCCTTTTCTTTTGTTTTCATTCGCCCCCTCTATTACACACCGTAAGATATGAAAAAAAAAAAAAAAAACAATGCCTGCCCTCCCCGAGAACAAGAAAATTACCATCAATTTCTTTTAGTCTATCTCGCTCTCGACTCGCAGCAAACAACACCTACCATAATTTCTGCTCGCCCTTCCGCCAATTGTATGGGAAGCCTCTAGACGTGACATATTGCTATCACAAAGACGAAATATAATAATAATAATAATAATAATAATAATAATAATAATAATAATAAATACCATGAAATATGCATCGCCTTTTATGTACAGATTCACCTTGGAGAAACAGAGAAATATTTTCCCCCTATCACGCATTCTTCGCGCGATATAAACCCCCAGCCCGTCTATGTGTGAGAAACAATTAAGTGTCACGGGCGTGAAGAAGTTCACACAACACCAGACATTTCCTTTTAGTATCCACACGAAATACCAAAACACACACACACACATACCCATAATAATAATAATAATAATAATAATAAGCGTAGGGTTAAGAAAGAGACCTCCGTTCTTCGACAAGTCTGCATATGTGTGTACGTATGCAATGGTAAACCTATACCCAACCTCCCATTTTCCCTCCCTCGGAAAAAAAAAAACGAAAAAAAAAAAAAAAAATCACAACCAATAAAAAAAAAAAAGAAAAAAGAAACCTCCCTTCAGATATCAAAAATCTCAACCGTGACGGCTATGGCGCATACTTTGGGTTCAATAAACCACACCCATCGTCGATTTTTAGCCATTGCATCTCTTAATCATCCTCCCTCCACTAACCCCAAACTCTATAGAACGTCATTGAGGTACATTTTCTGTGGACCAGTGAAAAGATCAACGAGAGGAGGAGAAACTCCAGACGGCAATAATGCATACACATCACTCTTTTTCCCTGTGACATCTGGCGATGGTGAGAGTCCGTCAGTATCATCGTAGTATGAATCTTTACCAGGTGTTCCATCTGTGATAACGGTAGAGCGAAGAAAACCGGGCTGACATGAGAGATACTGCGATATAGCGGCGTACGGGTGCTCACGGTGCATCTCACGTACCGCAGGGTGATGTGAATGGGCGGCAATGGCGAATGCGGCATCACTGTAGCCAATAAGTGTTTGCTTAAGTAATGCACGGTAGAGTGCTATAGTCACTTCCATCGGCACTGAAATCTTAAGTGAGAGACGTCCAACACTGTTGGCCACAGCTGATTCACTACGATGAAGCCAATGGAGCATCAGTTGTGAAATACCACAGTTTATCATTTCTTGAATGGCCGGGGTAGATGGAATATTAGCAGGAGGAAGTGGATTTGGTACCTTTTCGTGTATACAACACGTACATTGACAACGAAAGTAGGCAAATTGGGGTTCACCAACAGGCACAGCATTCTCTGGTGGATGTGTTATTCTACAATGTTCACAAAGGGCCATGCGGTGCATATCCAATTCATAGACACTCATCATCTGATATGGTGCTGCATTAGGATGAACGGCTGCAGTACATACAGGAAAGATTAATGCCTCACTTTCTGAGTCTAAACGGGAACTGTCCACCCGAGGGTCATTATAACTTAACTCTACAAAACATTCAAAGGCTCCATTAGCTACTACTGTATTTAATGCCTTTTTAGCCAACTGAAATAATGGTGTAATAACCAATGAACTTATTTGCATTATATTCCGTGGAGACTTATGAGCAATAGCTCCAATAAGTTTAAATACTGCTATTTGACTTTCTGCGCATGTCGATTTGGCAGCAAGTGAAATAGCTACTTCAAGTACATCCAAATCATGAATTTTATTTTGTAGACAAGGCATTCGTTCCAAAGCATTGGTTGCAACTTGACACAATATTCGTTTTAAGGTTTCTGATTTTGGGATAATTGAAATAGCTACACGAAGAGGATGAATATCGTTAAAATCATATGTAAAGGAAGGTGTGTGTAAGAGTAACCAACCTGCCATTTCTACCATATTACGACAACAAGTAAATAACCATGCTTGCTCTTCTGCAAGATCCACTTGTCGTGTTACAACGGAACGTGTTTGCATAATTTCATCTGGGTCACCTTGTGATGGGGTTCCACACTCCACAATTGGCATTAAAGCAACAGCAGCTTTAGCCGTCTGTGTTACCAGCGGTCCAAGTTCACTTGGTAATGAAAATGTTTGAGATGCAGCTACATCACGTGTTACGGCAAGTGAATTTCGCAATAGTTCCACGTAAAGTGTTAACACAGTACTTTTAATTCTATGATCCACATTATTTAACCAATGATTTACTTCATCCAGTACGAAATGAAAAAGATAGTGAACAAATCCCAACGATGCACGAACAAACGCGACACGTTCCTCTGGTGATATTAAGTGCAAACTAGAAGAATATTGAATAAGTGGAAGGAACGTAAGTGAGGCCATAATAGGACCATACGGAGATCGTTCATCCATTAAGCGAAAACTTTCTTCAATACATATAAAAACATCTTCAAGAGGCATAAACCCTTCACTACGTCTATCTGCTGTTCGTAGATGAGTTCTAGCGAGTTCTTCAATAAGTTGTTGGGATGGAATCACACGGACAACATGGGCAGCATTAACCCATCCACCGCTTTTCAATCGGTAATAGGTTTCGCTTGGGTCAATGCTTCCCTTCGCACTGGAAACAGCCACCATTAGCCTCGCAGGGTAAAGAGGACATAAGATGTGTGCGTTGCCACGTGGACGTGTGCGTAGGCAGACACCCATATCTTCATGAGATAAAACTGGATTGCGGATAATTACCTGCGGTGTATCAAACAGCTGTTCGTCAATTTCTATGCATTTTAAACAGAGGAAATAGTGACATCCCTTCTGTGTACAACTTCCCCACTCTACCATAGATGGGTGGGCGCACGCCTTGCAAATAGAACACATTACACCCGCACTTGGCTGCCTGAGCATCTGCATGGGATGCTCAGGGTGAGAACCGTGGTACAGCATTCCTCCTCCTTTCCGACGTTTTCTAACGGCTTAGAAAAAAAAAAAAAATAACAATATAAAAAAGAAAAACATTAACACATATTTAAATATGCACATTCGTACACACACGCAAAAAAAAAAGAAACAAAAACAATAGGAAAGGGAAAAGGGAGAAAATACTACAACTCCGCCCTTCTTCTTTTGTACACATATTATCCGGTGGATTGGGTATATAAATATATAAGTTTTTTTCTTTCTTTCTTTCATTGTTTCGGCAAGGAAAATTCCGAGATTGTATCTCACTCCTTCCCTCTATTCCATTTATCGCATCCCTTCAATGCATTCCCCATTCCAATTTTCCCTACATCTAAGTTCTGGAGAGGCTAGCTAGACGCTAACAAACAGTTCATAAAGTTCCAACAGAGATCTGCTATATGCAGATGTATTTTCCTCAACGCGTATAATTCCCGTTACTCACACGTACGCTCAAATTTTCGTCTTCTTTTTCCTCCACTTGTCAATATATAACGTTTTCAAACCCTACACAATATACCGTTTCTTCTAGAGAAAAGAGTCCTCTTAGAGAAACACCTCCCAACAAGTGACACATGTTGGGTTTGTGTAGTAGACCTATATACATAAATATATATATATATATATATATATAGATCTAATCTTTTCCTCTTTCTTGTTTTTTTTTTTTTTGCTTTTCTTTTCTTTTTCACATTATTCCTGGTAGAAGCGCTAACTTGATATCATACTTAATGCATCAACAGGCGTAGAACTTCTTTCTGTGATGTCAGAGAACTTTTTCGCTCCCTCATATGTCATACCAAACGCGCAACCGCCTATTGCCCCCATGAAAAGGTTTGCATGAATACCTTTAAAAAAGGCCCGCAAACCTTCCCGACGGAAAATATTTGTCATTACCCAAATTACAGGAAAAAGTCTGTCTCCTACATCCTTATTTACTTGCAGTCGAAGACGCAAAACATATAAAGGATTCATAATTACACCAATCACCATACTAGAAACTCCTCCTACAGCACTGTTAACAATGACATTGTCTGTAGTAGAAGTGCATCCAGAAGGAAGTCTATGCCGTAGTCCAAATGGAACAGTAAGACTTGATTTCATTGAGGCACATTCAAGAATATTATATGCCCGTTGTTTCAAGAATTCATAAACTAACCACCAGGCTCCTGTAATAGGAGAGACCATCAAAGTTAATAATGTACCGCGAAATAGTGCTCTCCATCCCTGCTCTGCAATAATACTTCTCGTTGTTTGGTATGCACTCCTATAGCAGGGTTCTCCAGGCCGATTGCCAGCTACCATTTGAACCTGTGATATCACAGCAAAAGGATTATAAAGAGGTCCAGAAACAACATCCGCCGCAAACCCCCCTACAAGACTACGCTGCTCTGATGTACGAAATGGAAAGTGTTCTTTTCCATATTCAACAATAAGATAATATACGAGTTCACTAATAACAGTACCGGAAATCACCATTCCAGCTCCATGAAATAACCCCCTGACACCATAATGTGCGTACATCTCCTGCAATACCTGCCGCACTGTCAAACGCCCTGTACTATATTGCTGCCGAGTAACGGCGAGAAAAAGTGGATGTCCAAAGAAGGAGTACGCAAAGGACGTGGCACCTAAAGTGGCAAAAAGCATCCATCTATCAACGTGAGACCACGACCGCGTCACGGCAGACGTCAACATGGGCGAAGGAGTTTCATCTGCGCTTATCGGAGTTGACACAAACGCTGTATCGATGTTTACAACAGGTGGGGCCACCGCGTTCATGCTTCCTTCATACAAACACACACACACATACACAAAGTCAAAAAAAAAAAAAAACAGCAAAAGGAAAAAAAAAATATATATATATTTATATATAAACAAATAAAGACCCCATCCCCTATCAATCCATATTGAGAGGAATATCAAAGAATATTAGTAATAAAGGGAGAATAATTAAGAAACTATTTGCATGTATGTCTGTGAGATACTGAAATTGGGATTCAGAGACTACAAGATGGATAGAATAGATAGAGAAGGGTGATAAAGATGGGTGTATTTGAACAAATCATATTGTGCAACATAAGAAAGCAGTAACTCTTACGACTAAATGTCAAAGACCCAGATATCATCCCCACTTTCAAATATTTGAAGGCCATATTCATATGCGAATGCGGCAAGAAGGAAACCGCTCGAGAGAATCCAGAGAGAAAACCAAATCCAAGAGGTAAGTGCGGGGTGAAATACAAGCAACAGTGAACAAGAAAAAGAGCTCACAAAACAAAGCAACAATGAGGCTTTCGTCAAATCATCCATAACCTTTGATGCGGCAAATGGGGTTTTCATGACCTTAATAAAAATCAAAGCAGAAATGAAAGCAGCAATGAGATACCAAATAGGGTTTCTTGCTAGAGAGGCGATCAAGAGATAAATGAGACGATGAAAGAGCATCAGTTGCAACATTAAACCATCACAACGTCTTTCATCACTTCGTGCATTACCACATCGGGCAAATGAGCTTAACGCAACATCCTGTAAGAGAGAATAAAATAATAACATCACATATGCAATACCTACACACCATCGGTGTAAGGATGACAAACATGAATGTTGCCCAAGAAAGCGCATCATCTCCCCTTCACATGGTATTGCGGCAGTCATAATGGCAAGTGTTGGTATTCCAAGAAATGAACTAAGAGGTGCAATAATACGAGGAATAAGTTCCATTCGTCCCACAAAACGGTATGGATCCATGCGGTCCATAGGCAGTAACACAACCCCATGAATTAGGGATAGTAATAAACTGATTACACCAAGAGTTCCACCAAACCAAACACTTACAGTGTTATAAAATATGATATTGTCAATTTTCCTGAAGACGCCAACATTGTGAAAAGCTGAGAATGCGAATAAGATGGGAAGCAAAACAATATCGGCTAGAATCATATAAACAGCACTTCGACTCCCAAGAGCTGAAGGAGCTCTAAGCGTGGTAAAAGCCGTAATGCGTGAGAACGTTCGTCGACCACGCTCACGCCAGAGGAAATGCAAACTTCCACGAAGTGTACGGGCAGCAAGAAAACAAAAGAATACTGCAGCAGAAACTTCATTCACGCTAGCCACGTTAATGTTCCCAGTAAGAAGATATATCAGGAGTCCTACTGATATAATATACAAGAAGAGTGGCGGATATCGCACAGTAAATAAATAAACCCTTCCCGAACAGCTACCGAATTCTCCTTCATCCCTTTGCGAAATCCCATCAACGTCATGCATGATCTCGCTTTCCCACTCTCCTTCCTTTCTTCCTTCCTCCTCTACTCCTACAAAAGCAAATGCAAAAAGAAAAAAAAAGAAAAGAAACACAACAAGAAAAAAATAACTATCAATGATTATAACAGAAATTTTGTTTAGATTTCTTCCGAGAAGGTTTTTTTTCTTTTTCTTTTGCTGTTTGTTTTATTTTGTTTAAAGAGAACCTTTAAACATAGAAAGGTACACACTCTTCCGATAGCAGAAGAGAGAAAAGTATTCATTTATCTCCAGACAAAGGTACCCTGTGGTGTTTGTTCCCTAGTTATTATTCCCGCCTCACGGAGACGTCTAAACGCTGTTGGAGCATATGGTTGCAAAGCTGTAGAAAGCTCACCAATGTAGAATTGAATATCATGTCCTGGCATTGCCTGAACAAGACTAACAATACCATCCTCTGCTGCGGCTGATAATGAAGCGGCTGCTTCACTATCTCCTTCTCCTGTCATCTTTGCTGGTGTTGAGCTTCCGTGTTCTATTCCCTGCTGCAGTACACTGAGGTCTTCTTCTTCCGGGCGGTGGCGACGTATTTTGTGCATTTTGCGTGGCAGTGAAAAGACGGGGTACCACCGCGGTGGCTCCTCCGGCCCGTCGATGCGGTCAATAATGACTTGGCCGTAGAGTTTCAGTTCGCCCCACAGCAGCCGCGTCACTTCCATCTGCCGCTCCCGCCCAAAGTAGCGGTTGGCGTAATACACAGCCGTCATGCCGGGATCTCGCCGCACAGTGTCGAGCAGCAGCGGCAGCGTGAGGGCCCGCGCGGTGCGGTCCGCGGCGGTCTGCAGAACACAGCCACGTCGCATCTTCTTTATTCTATTCGGATACACAACGCTAACAAAGGAGTGCAATAGAAAGAGGAATAAATAAATAACAATAATAATGACAGTCAAGGAAGTGAAATAAAGACATCGAAGGAAAAAAGTAAACCAAAAAAAAAAAAAAAACAACAACAGAGGAACCAAAAAATCACAAGGGAGATAAACTGCGGCACATCATCAAATGTGGCGCAAAAATCACTTCATGAAGACCCTTAAAACTGGAAAAAAAAGGGAATCATGTCTTCTTCACCCCATATGCGGGGGGTCACGATACACCGATACAAAAGAAACAAAGAGGTTTAGAGGGAACAAGGTCTAATATAGATATATGTATATATTGTCTAGGCCTTTTATTTTATTATATTCTTCGTCTGGTTTTTCTTCCTTATAATTCCTTTGACCACCCAGTCATTCATTTTGTGTTTCTCACCTTTCTGGGGGACTCATCTCAATATCATAATTATTTTTCTTTGCTCTTCTTTCTTCTTTCCAAACAACATCCACCTCTCTTCCTCTTCATCACTCGTCTCAGTAACATATTCTTCATCATCATTTTCAAGCATTTTTTTTTTTTCTCCCTTTCTTTTTTTTTCTTGTACTGTTGCGTTCACTACTTACTTTTCTACTGCCGTGGCTTCATCACAAGATTTGAGTTTTTAAGCTGGGCGGTGAGTAACGCAAGTCGCGCACGAACAGCGCTGTAGCGGTATCCAATCTGTTCCCGCACCACTTCTGGTGGTGATGCCCGAAACGGGAGTGTCAATACACCGACGAGTTTGTACTCGAGATTCTCTATAAACTCCATATTGGCGGTACCATTCTCGTCAAGAAGAAGAACCATAATAAACCGTTGCGGTTCCCGAATACAGCGATTGAACATTTTCAGTAGTGTCATTAAGAAATCAGGGAAGTCACAGACGAGGCTCTGGTGTTCACGCAATCGCAGGAATCCGGCGTGGTTAATAACACACGTATAGTGAAAAAACAAATCGGACTCACTTGTCAACTCAACACGCATGGCAGAGAGACTATGATCATCGCCGAAGGAAAGCACTTTTACTTTCATACCTTCTAATGAACCGGACTCTGCGCTTCCGCCACGCATTGGGCGTAATTCGCATGGTACTTCACGATCATACACCACTTTGAATCCATCAGCGAGCGATGGATCTGACTGCTCAATCGCGCGAAAGTCGTGTTCTAGCTGCGCAATAAGAGTGTCGCTCATTCTCTACAAGACAAAAATACAAGAACAACAATTATAAATAATAATAATAATAATAATAATAATAATAATAATAAAACTGAATCTATTGTTAAGATATGCTACAATTGTACGATTTGATGGAAATGTAGTGAGAAGCAGTTACCTATCCACCTCTCACACCCGCAACGCACACAAACACTTACTGACACTAAAAATGATAAAGAGAACATATTAAAAAAAAAAAAAAATAAAGAGAGCATGGTAACAGAGAGATAGAGAGAACCACAATTAAGGAGAGAAAAAAATAAAATGTATCTTTCAAAAAATAATAAAAAAAGGATATCCTATTCTTCTGGCGGTGCAACTTATCTGGAAAGTTACAGAATATATCCGTCTCGGATGTTTTTCATCCTTTTTTTCTTTTTTTCTTTTAGCATTCTTACAACCGGTAGCCTTTCTGAACAGCTGGTTTCTTAAAATAGACCTCTTCCATTATTTCCTGCTGCCGTTTACAATCAATACAAGGACCTTCCCTTGACCGTTTATCATTCCACCAGTAAGTGTAACAAAAACCGCCAATCGCGAATAAGAGGGTAGCTGGAATCATCAAAGTAGTTGCCCTGGGCATACGCCATCTATTCTTTTGCGCTGCTAGTCGTCTATCACGCATTACATTACTATAGGGCACCTTGTCGACGTCTACGCTAGATTTCGACGAGGAACCCATTGTGAAATGGGTCACACACGCCGATTGAAGCACTATATATATACTATAAGAAATTTGTAAAGGTGAAATGAGAAAAAAAAAAAACATTATATATACATATATATAGTTGAAAATAATGTGTTTTTTTTTTT